GCAGCAGCAGTACATGGAGGGGGAGGATGCTCACCTAATGGCAGAAAGGAAGTAACGTATAGGAGGGGCAGGGTCCAGCACATACCTCCAGTGAGTGACCTACTTTCCCCAACTAGGCCCCACCTTAAAGTTTCCATCACCTTCCAGTGATGCCATCAAATTATGAATCCATCAGTGAGTGGATTAATCCACCGAGCCCTCATGATCCAACCACCTTCCTAAAGGTCCTACCTCTGACCACTGCTGCACTGGGGACCAGTCCTTCAATATATTGAGCCTTTGGGGATATTCCTGATCAAGACCATAACAAGCTAATAAAACTTTCAGAGCCATTGCTTATTTGTCTTAACATCTCAGCATGCTTGGAAGAATGCTGCCTGGATTTTCTTCCTGTACATACACATGCGTTTCTGACAGACCTCTAGGTCTGCAAGGGCAAATCTGTTTTAGTATTCTTCTAGCTGCCTAGAATATGGCTTTGGGGAAGATGACTGATGGCCATGTTGCTCATAGAGCATGTCCCTAAAACACCCAGATACAAATAGCAGTTTTTCTTCCTGTGGATGCAGAGCTGCAGCTTTAGGCCTGGAAGGTGTTGATTCTAGGGCTGACGATCATCTGCTTAACTTTCATTGAAACCACTAAAGTGGAGGAGCAAGAAGCTGGGGACCAGGAGCAGAATGCTTTGGATTCTTGGGTTGTCTGAACTACAAGGCAAGGCTGGGCATCATGAAAGGGGTATAACTGTGACAACCTAGGCCTCCCAGACAGGCTCTTGGAGGCCTTTGGGGCTGTGGTGGAAAGTTTCTGGCAGAGGGCTCTCCATTTGCACTTGGGTAACCCAGAAGGCAACACATAGTATGTATGCTTTAAGAAATAACCATACACCAGTTTACACCAAGAAACAACCACACATCAGAGGGCATCGAGAAGTAACCTGCGCCATTGTACCTTGTGAAATAATCACACACCAATGTGCTTCAAGAAATAACCATGGACCTAGTGTACACCAAGAAATAACCGCACACCAGTGTTCATCAAGAAATAACGTGAGCATTTTTGGAGGGACCATGAAAGGGGATGTGAATGGGCTTGCCTGGTCTGGGATGAATCTTATATGGCATCTGTCAGCATTGTAGCAGTGTTGTATTTTAGAATTTCTCTCCCTGATTAGTGCTGGAGAGTATAGGGTATTGTTTTGCTTGTGCTGGCCCCAAAGGGTGTTCCCGGTAATTGAGTAAATCTGCCTTTTAATCCCAATGTTGTGTTGGAAAGCACTATGCATCATTACCAAGTACACCAAGGTGTTTACAACCTGAGGGCTCAACTCATTGTGTCATTCTTTGTTTTCAGGCACTGCAGACAGGAGGCAGCCTTCATGGAGAGGGTATGTTCAGGGACCTAGCTGCCCGTAGAGACCCATTTGTCAGGACCCAGGGAACAGATCTGACATTGAGCCCTCAGAGCAATGTGGCAAGGTTCTCAGGCAGAGGGTGCTCTGCCACCAGGCCACACCTGGGGACTGGTGCTGATGGAAGCGCCACGTGCTTGTTGCCAAGGCAATCTCATCAGACCACCCTGGGGATTTGCAAATAGTTTTGCCTGTTTCTGCCTTCTGGTCTGACACCAGAACCCCAGGACACTTGGTCATGGGAGCTCTGCATGGCACAGCTGGCTCAGGAGCATCTCAGGCTGCTGTGACAGGTAAAAAGCCTGTTGGTTTCGGGCAAGTCACTTAGCCCTTCTGTGCCTTTTCTTCACTTGGCTCTCTGGGGTTGATTAGTGAGGAATAAATTAGTAAGTGTAAAATGCTCAGAATGGTGCCTTACCCTCATGCTCACATAGTGAGTACTCAGTGTTAATCACTGTTGTTAGTGCTAACTGACTTGTTAAAAAGTGTCAGGGTGCTGAGCACCCTGCAAGCCTCCCTAGTCTCTACACCACTGGATAGACAGACATTTGTCCCACAAAAGCAGGTTGTTCTGAAAGGAGCTGAGGGTGAGGAGCACCTACAGATTAGGGAGTGGAGCACAGAGTGGGCACAGTGGGAAAGTGTCCCCTGATTTGAAGCTGGGGGCCTGATTCTCACCACTCCATGCTGCATCACTACAGGGTCATTTCCCAATTGCACCCCTCCATCTCTTGTAACTTGTCTTTGAAGAGTTATACCAGGATCTGTTTTTTAACTAGATGGCTATATGATTAATTTTTAAAACTCTTAATTGGGAATTTGGTTTTCTTCACCATCTTGAGCTGTTATTATGTGAATATAGCATGTTATTTGAAAACTTTTCCACAAGATTTTAATATTGGTAAACATTCTTTTAATTTCATTAGTTCAGTTTCTGGCTTTTGACACTGTAGGTGAGTGACAAACAAGACAAATTAATAATTGTGACACTACAGCAAAGTCCCCTGGTGAGGACTTGAGGACTAGTTCTGTCAATTAGCTAAATGTTTATGTGGTTTCTCTGATACCTCTAATTAAGACAACTTAAAACTGGATTGCACATAAGTAAATATGCCCTGTGATGACGATTTCAGGGAAGAGTAATCTGAAAGACCCGAGCATGTGGTGATGGTGACTGTTGTAGGACATCACAGCGCCATTTCCTAGACCTGCTGTCATTCCTGAGTGGCTGAGGAGCTCAGCCTCCACTCCTCTTTATGAAGCAGGGCTTGGTGGATGCAGTGAGGTGCTGGGGGTGCTGGCCAGGAGGAGCTCTGTGAGGCTCCTTTTAGTTTCTGGCATGGTGTCTCTGAGTCAGGAGCAGACATACAAGTGTGAGCTCCCGGGCTAGGGATATGAATCAAGGCTCACAAGCCCCTGGGAGGCACCATTCTTTTCTCTTGTGTGTCTCTTCTTTTGATGGCCTGGAGTTGCCTTGGATCTTGGGGAGTCTGGTTCCTTGTTGAAGGAGTTTGGAGCTGAATGAAGACAAAATTGTGTGTGGGCCCTGCTGTAAGGTATTGTGATGGTCAGAGTGCAGTAAACGTTCCCAGGACACTGTGGACAGCTGGAGTGAGCTGATGGACAGTTGTCATGTGAGTGTGTAGCTCCACAGGTGCCAGGCTCATTGTCTCCTCTCACACCGTTGAGCTGGCCCACTGTGAGGTCCCCTGTGTGCCATCTCCACCTCCAGGTGGCTCTCGTCCCTCCCCCAAGTGCTGAGCTGCAAGAGTCTGATTCAGGCACTTTCCACATTTTCTGACATTTGTTTATTCCAGAAAGGGAGTGTGGCAGCTGTTGGCTGTCAGGAGAGAGGCCTTGTCTCTGAGCTCTGCACACACAGGAATAGCGCAGGAGTCTGGAGACCTGACCCCAGCTAGTAGGAGTCATGCAGGAGTGTGTGCACCGAGGTGCTAGGTGGCAACTGGGTGATGGTGCAGGGGGATGAGCTAAGGTGACCTTTGAAGGTTGCCTGCAGCCCCCTGATGCTTGTGGTATGTTAAAATGTCTCAAGATTTAGATTCCCCACTTTAAGACATTGGTTTCTGCTTTAGAAAGTGATCCTTGCCATTAAACATAGCTCAGTGAATGTAGGAGGAGGTAGTTAGCATTCAGGTTTTAGTTTTCAAGGTAGTAACAGTGGTTGCCCTACTGTTTTATTTGGTGTATCTGGATTGATTGATATACACAGCTATAACTGTGTATACTAAAATGAAAAATTCCCATGGGCTTCTCTTAGCCCTTAAGGTGCTGGTGGGGGCTTTCTGACCTATGACTGTCACAGAAGCTGGAGGAGAGGTGCACCTCTGTCGCTCAGATGTTGGGGGTGTAATGCTTTTTGAATACTGAATCATTTTGCTTTTTAATTCTGGGATCTGACTGCTTCATCTCTGAGGCTGTCCTCCTTGCTGTCCATCAAGATAGGGAGCTGCCATTATGTCTAGCTGCACATCAGTAACATCTGGGCAAATTTTAAAGTACAGAATCCCAGAACACACACCGACTGGGGCATGCATATGTCTTTAGAAAATGCTCTCCATTTGTTGGGGATTTTTCTGCTGTTGGGTGTGGCATGGTTGGCAGTGGCCTTGTTGAGAATTCATATTGTGAGGCAACTAGTCAGGATTGTGGAGCCCTTGCATGTAGTGTGGCCTTTCTGTGGTGTTGAACTTGAGACTGGTCTTCTTAGGTGTTGGCTTTTTATTTTTATTATTATTATTTAAAAAAATTTTTATAGTCGGAATGATAGGCATATCATGAGATTCCTGTTGGGTTACTGATGATGCCTTTAGCTATAAGTAGTCATTTTAGAAGTTCCGGCCCCCAGAAGCCTGCTGTTTAGAACTGTGTTGTCCTTTTACCCACAGGTGTGTATCACACACTTAGACAACTGGCAGAGATTCATGTGATCATTTGCTTTGCAACACCTGATATTGTGTCCCAGTGTCTTTGTTACGTGATCAGACATACAAATAAGTAGGACTCTGGGCTGCTACAGACTAAGTTAGGAAGATACCACTGAGGATTTGGGCACTGTGAATCTGGGGTCTTGCTCAATTTTATAGACTTTGGAACTCAATTTTAGTTCTCCTAGTTATCAGTCAGGGGTTGGATTTTGCATGAGTCAGAAATGTGTAATATTGGTGACTGATAACAGTTGTTATTGGGATGAGAACTGTGTCTGAGAATGCCCTCTCTTTGCTGTTGGGTGAGCAGCTACATTTTCTCTGCTTGTTTTCATTTGTCTGCAAGCTTGGTGGGCCAGTTTCCCCAGCCTGGGGTCTTTTTCTATATAGGATCAATACTTCTTCCCTAGAATAGGCATGGAGACTCATTTTTCATAGTTCTAATATGCAGTATATCATGTCACTCTCTTGGCCCCCAACCCATCTGCTCCTGCTAGAATGCAGACTCAGGACTGCAGTGTGTGGCTCCCTGCCAGTTGGGGGTTGGTGAGGGACCAGTGGAATGGATGTGTGTGGGCTTGATCCTTTTTCTTGGCTTCTTGGTACCCAGGTAGTTTCCTAGCAGGGCGGACCAGCCTCAGGTCACCTGTGGAGATGACAGCACCAGCTAAACAACATCCTGCCCAGGAGAGACCCTACCTTTGTGGCTGTGGAGGCCCAGTAAGTCTTGTTTCCTCCTTTTTGCCCTCAGTTCCTGAGCAGGCTGCCTCCTGTGCTTGCCACTTCCCTGGTACCGACAGGAGTTACTGGTTGCCAGAATTACTTGGGTGACTATTTATATTAAAGCCCCTCTGCTGGGTTCTCGTTGGGTCTTGACTGATTTGTGTATCTTGTCTAACACTGTAGGAATCAGTCAGTAGAATCATGTCTTGGGAGACAGATTACACTTAATTAGATCTCAGTTCCCCTGATACTCATTGGGGGTTTGCTCAGGTCCTTCTGACCACATTGTAGTGGAGTTTCTGTGTGACAGGTTTTCCTCATTAGCCCCATCTGAGGCTATCAGCAAGACTGAGCACTTTCCTGGGAAGGTCACTGCACATGATGAATGCCATTTGTTTTATAGGCTCTGTTGGCTCTGTTTTCAGATGATGGCATTTCTAACCTTGTTTTCCAAGTTGATGTCCATTATGTGATTTTGGAATTGCCCCAGCTGTAATGGTAATGTGTTTCAGCTGTACACGTTTCTGAGCAGGCTTGTGGCAGTTTGTTAGAAAAAGCATATATACTATGTGTAAACACAGATTCATGAAGAGTTTAAAGATGGTCCATATAGTTTGGGGGGATAGATAGATGGGAAGGACAGGATGAAGAGAAACAGAGTAACTAGAGAAAGAAAGTAGCCAAAGCTGGTCCTGCTCAGGTCTTTCCCATCTGTGTTCAGCATAGTCTGGTTTGGTAGGAAATTGTTACCCTGCATGTGATTAGGAATGGTAACTCCAAGACCATTTAGATTTCAGCACATGAACTCATACTGGCCAGCGAAGCTACTTCCAAACACAGAACTGTATCCTGGTATCCCAAGTTAGAAAGGAATCATGCTCGTTTGCCTGGTTCTCATTTTCTAATAAAATGGAATGTTTCCTTGTGAAGACATTTTTTTTTTAGTCTTCAGGTTTGATGGGAATCTAGCAGATGCTAACTCAAAGGTCATGGAGTATAATAATAGTATTCATGGGTGGATGACAAAAACCAAATGAGGATAGCACACCTGGCCGTCTGTCTAATTTAGTGCCTGGAGGGGCCCAGGATTTAGCTCAGTGGTTCACAAACGCAAGGACCTGAGTTTGATCCCCGGTTTAAAAAAAAAAAATTAGTGCCTGGAGCTTGCCTTGTCTAGAGCCAACTTTCTGCATCCCTTGGTTCTTTGCTGCTGCAACTCCTGGGTGCAGTGCAGAGAGGTACTAAGATAGCAGGCGTGATGAATGGTGTGTCTCTGCCCCTGACCATCTTTTGCCTGTGAACTTGGACATATTGTTTCAAGTCTCTGGGCTTTAGCTTCCTCACTTATTAATCGGGGTAATAGCACTTCATTGTGTTGTATTTAAATACATGTGTTTGCTGGCATACCTGGACAGCTGACATTACAAAAAGTATTCATGGCAAAAGTAAAACTATTACAAGTGAAATAAATGAGTAGGGGCAGGTTGTTTGGGGTGGAAGAGCAAAGCAGCTGGAGGCTCTTCTAGGAACTTTGCATGTTTGTTAGTTCATTTTGGTATGAGGGATCAAACTCAGGACCTTGAGCTTGCCAGGCAGGTGGGGCGCCACTGAGCTTTGTCCCTGGCCAACTTTGCTTGTTCTTTTGTCTAATGTTTTCAACAGGTCTGCCTGGAGACAGATTCCAATTCATGGTTTTCCTTCCCTGTATTTGGTGTGCCTAGTGCTGTGGGAGAATTAGGTGATGCCATGCAGGGAAAAGCTGGCACAGGCTGCACTGCGCTGAGTTCATAGCCACCCAGTTGCCACCACCACCCATGCCGCTGATCAGAATGTGCTGGCTTCCCCTGTTGCCACCTGTCTGCTTGTACAGGCTGAGCTACAGTGACAGTGATCCATGCAAGTCCATTACCTGAGCCTGGCTGTTCTTCACTTCTTTAGTAGCAGAGAGTTGGCACAGTGTGGGGGCAGGTGTTGACTCACTGAGGGTCTGTGAGTGTCCTGTGACTTAGGTGGACTCTTGGGACCTATCCAGTGGGGAATAAAAATAGTAACCCTTGCGCTGGCCAGCATCACAAATTTTTTCAAGCACTTCATGTGTATGAACTCATTTTTTTTTCCAGTCAAAAGCTCTTCATTCTATATTGATGTCTTTGTTTCTATTTTTTTTGTACTGGGGATTGAACTTGGGTCCTTGTGCTTGCAAGGCAGGCCACCAAACCACTGAGCTAAATCCCCGGCCCCTGTTTCTACTTTTTAACTAATATTACAGTAAATATCTGTGTAGCTTGCTTTTCTGTTTTGTCTGAAGAAGTGTTTTAACCACTCCCATTTTACCAGTGAAGAAACTGTCAAGGGAGAAAGGTGTATGTCATGGGTGCACAGGTCATAAGCAGGAGGTGTGTGTTGGAGTTCATACTGCTCCTGCTGCTCCTCTGCTGGGCCTATCTCACTGGGAGTAGAGGAGACTCTAGGAGGTGAGGTGTTGTAGTGGGTCTGTCTCCCAGCTGAGGTTGGAGGAATTCTAGGATGGAATGCCTTCCTTGGGGATTGACTGGCCCCAAAGGGTGGTGGTGTGGTGCTGGGTGATCTCCAGCATCAGGCCTGGCCGTTTTTCTTCTCTGTGTACTTGCACAATCCCGCTCCCTTGCCATGAGTAAGGGCCACTCTAAACCACTTGAACCAGTATACTGAGCTGAATGTGACACTGGGCCCTTGTAGGCTCCTTTGGCCTGGTGGCCCCACTTTGTTCCTAGGGAGTCCAGCTGCCATGCTCTGAGGTGTCCAAACTTCTCAGCTGTAGAAGGGGACCTGAGGTGGCAGCCCATGGGTGACGAGGCACTTGGAGGAGAGGAGAGAGAGGGGATTTGTGTGTTGAAGGCCAACACTTGGACACACCTGGATTTGCTAGGTTTAGCTTCACATCTGTTTGGTTACCTAGAGGATCCTGAGATATTAGAACTTCTTGTTTAAACAACTTTGTTTCAGGAGGGATCTTGCAGAGAAATGTTGGCTGGCACACTCCTGTTTGCTCTGGGCCTGGCACTGTGTCGATCCTATACGTATTGCTCAGCCACCTGATGCAGGTGCCAGCCCTGGGCCTCCTCACCAGCTCCTCCTAATGTTGCGGCATATGATTGCCATCATCTTATTGGTTTTTAATTCAATTAGGCTGGGTTTCCCAATTCATAGTTAACACTCCCCACATACCCTTCGCTGCCCCCACCCCCCACCAGGTTGGGAATTCCTTTTTCTTTTTGCTACCAGGGATTGAACTTGGTTCCTTGGTTTACAAGGGAGGCGCTGGAACCACTGAGCCAGGAATTCCTGATTCCATTGAATTTACTTACTATTCTTTCATCGGAACTCCTCTTAAAGATAGGACTTGTTGGGTGGTGTTATGTGGTTGACTCACATAACCACAGACTCATAGAGACCTGAGACCCAGAGGTTCCCTCATATCTCTGGGTTTGATCCCCATGGAGGTCCTCCCACCAACCTTCCTGTGGGAGACTCCTCAATAACAGGTGGTGAGTAGATCCTGCAGAATGAGTGATTCTTACATTTCAGGCTGGAGAGTCTGTTTAGAAGCAAATAGAATGGCTCCCTCTTGCTATTAAATGTGTAAGAATGTCATGATCACACTAAATTGCTGTCCAAAGCTCATCTGGAAAAGGATTAGATGGTGACAGAAAGAGAAAGGTCTTGTTTGATGTTTGAAATCCAGGCCCGGGTCATGAGTCATCTCAGTAATGTCATATGCCAAACTCTTAATTTAATAAACTGTCAGCGCAAATTGTTAAAACATTAAGCAGTTATGCTCAGGAGATACAGTTTTTATTTTTTATTTATCTATTTATTTTTATTTTTTATTTTTTTGGTACTGGGGATCGAATTAGGATCCTTGTGCTTGCAAGGCAGGTGGCGGAACCACTGAGCCATCCCTGGCTATGGAGATATAGTTTTTATATTTAGATTACCATTTTTTGTGAAACAAATGCATTTCCTTTTTTCATTCTTTTTATTAGTTTGTAAAATTTTTGAATTGAGGTAAAACATATACAGCATAATATAAAATTTGTTTTGGGCATTAACACTGTTGTGCAGCCATTGACACTGTTTATGTCCAGAATGGTTTCATCTTCCTAAACTGAAGCTCTGCCCCAGGGAACCCTCACACTCACCCCTCTCCAGTGCCAGCCACCTCTTCTGGACTCTCTGTGAATTTGCCGTTTTAGGTACTGTGTGTGTGGAGTTGCACAACATCTGTCCTTCCCATCTGGCTCATTTCATGTATTCTTATGTCCTCCAGTTGATGTATGTTGTAGTTGTGTTTCTCCCTTTTTGAGGCTGAATATTCATTGTATATATAAACCAAACCACATTTTGTTTATTCATTCTTCCAGCAGTGGACATGGATTATTTCCATTTTTTGTCTATATACATAATTCCTTCCTTTACATTTTAATGCTAAAATGAAACAAAATTTATTGGTAACATCTCAGGAAATTTAAAAACATCTCTTCAGGTGTAGAGTTACAGTAACATGTACCAAATATATTGAATTAGTTGGTAATTTGGAGCAACTTTATATTTTCTAAGTCTTTAGATTTGGCCTCTATAAAGTAGTTAATATAGCTAATTCTGCTTTGAATTCAAGGATCAAGATAAGTTAATACATGCAAATATACTTTATCAAAAGGGAAATATAAATGTTTGTAGTTGCTACCAAATAACCATGTAATTCTGGATATAATACCAGATAATACATTCTGAATATTTTTGTTTGCATTCTGCAAACATTTATGGTAGAGATTTGGAATAACTTAATTCTTCTAGAAACTTGATGCTTTACATTCACTTTTTTTTGAGGGCAGGCTTAAACTATGTGGGGCTGTTTGTGGGTTATTTGGCTTGAAGCCTTGTCTGAATATTGTGTAGGTTCTCCGGGATCAGTGTGGAACTTAGCTATGGACTTTAAGTTTCCTTCTCAGAGGAGT